TAGAACACCATACATCAGGTACAGTTAGCAGGACATATTTTAGAATCAGGAAAGTGGACCAGAACAAAGAAGCAGAATGCTGCAAAATTATTGTAAAAACTAAATAAAAGTGAGCATTGCAAGAAATATTATATATATATATATATATATATATATATATCTCTCTCTCAGACATTGACCAGGTGCTTGGACAGTTTAGAGTTGTTTGACAACCAATAATCACAGATTTAACAATTAGCACGAGTGTATCCATTGCATTTTTGCATGAATGGTGCATTTAAAAAAAAAGATTAATCCAATATCTGAAAGAGGGGCACCTTAATTTGGACATTTAGTACACTGTAGTGGTAAAGGTGCCAAGGTTTCCAAGACACCCTCCCATTAAAGCCAGAGCTAATACTCACTTGCAGCTGAGAAAGGAGTTAATTTGAACTCATTGCCTGGATTCTTTCACTGTTTTGCAGTGGTTTAGGAACTGAGGTGTGCATATCATACCCCTCACTCAAAAATAGAGCTGAAGTTTAAATACCATTGTTGACAATTCCATGCTCCTCATCACAATACAGACATCAAATAAGTCCATTGTCAAATTTTGGCAGGTACATGCCATACATAAGGAAAATAGTCCCAACTTTTCCGTATGTATATTGTGAACACAAGGGCTATCTTAGAGTTAATCAGCCTGGGAGGAGTAGGATGAAAACATTCTGTAAGAAACCCCATCATTTATTTTTGAAAGGCAGATGGTATACCTTCAGGGATTCGTAAAAAAAATAAAATAAATTCAAAAGCAAAGGGAACCTGGAATCCAGTGAAGGAAGAGTCTCCTCTTGGCAGTGCTCGGTCTCCTGAGAGATCATGCTGATGATCTGCGCTCAAGCAATCATACTGTATCATTGTGGACCCACAAGCAACAGATAGGAGAAGGGAATAAAATAAAGAAAATACTATGGGCATTTTCCACAAACTTTTTCCTGGCACTATGGCTTTATCCCTTCTGTCACTTACCCGAGTCCAGTGCAAATGACTGGGCGCTGACTCGAGTCCACCTTCTCTCCCTCCACAGACGTCAGCTGGCGGAAGAAAGCCAATACGCATGCGCAGCAATGGCCATTTTTGCATTAGAATGTCACCATAGGAAAGCATTATTCAATGCTTTCCTATGGGATTTTTAGAAACGCTGGACGTCCCCATGCATAGCATAGTCAGTTCGACTACCAAAATCGGAAGTGGTCTGGGTACCTAAAGTGTCCCTTTATGAGTTATATCTGCACAAAGATATTCAAAACAAATAATGTGAAGTAAACCTATGTATTTAAAGGTAATCAACAACATTCTTCATATGAATCTAGAAGAACCTGATTACGTAGACATATCAGACTTTCACATAGTTGAACAGGTGATCAAGAAACCTGTAAAATCAGTACAACCATGGTTTCTTAAAAAAAAAAAAGAGAAACAAGTTGTATGCAGTGTTTCCAAGTATGTTCACAACATTCAATTGCACAGATTAAAATTAGCCCTTCTGTGAGGGAAACCAAAGATTTCAGTTTATTTTGGCACCCCCCATGGCTGTCAGACCACCAGTCATGTATCTTCCTGGTTGCTTAGCTTAGGGGCACTAAGCTCAAGAGGCAGAAATTGCCCAGAGCACCTGCCTTTTAAAGACTTCATTGAGCTAAACTGGGAAGTCTGATTGGACAGCAAGAAATTCTGGGCGAGGTTAGAAAGAGGGCTTGCAAATGTTTTAGTGAGAGATCTGCAGTTTTTGCAAGTTGTTTTCAGATATACTCCCAATAAAAAGAGAAAAGAAAAAAAATGAAATGCATGTTTTCACTGTGTATATACACACACACTATATCCGTGAATTTATTTTTGTATTTGGGCAGTAGTGCATCAATTCAAATAAGGGATGCACCGAAATGAAAATTATGGGCCAAAACAGAAGATTCAGAATGCCCTTGTCCGAAAACTGACACTGATAATGACTTCCTTCCCTCCCCCAAAATTATTTTAAAAAGGTTTTCCTATAATTTTTTTAATATTAGACTTAATGAATTTAATTAATCTAAGATGAAAATCTTCTTTTAGTGGTCCCCCCTGTCCTAAAGTGTTCTTTCCCCCCATGCCACCCCAAAAAAAAAAAGCTTTGGCAAATTTGACCTGTTTGAAATGGGATAGGCGAAATTTCGGTGCATCCCTAATTCAAATCACTGTTTAAGTAACCAAAGCGACAGACCGCCCGACTAATACCTCATTAAACAAATGTCATTTTGGTGCTTAAAGTCTATATTTAACACATGCTTTTTTCTGCCTATTTTATTTTAAATTTTTCATCTAAAGTGAAAATGTCTAAGTGAGCATGCTGTAGTGTTCATGATGCTTTAAGTGTTCTTTTAAAATAAAAAATTAAATTAGGATGAAAACATGAAGTAAAACCAAACGGAGTTAAAAAAAAACAAAACCCGTACTACTGCAAACATGTTACTGTGAAATGTCAGAACTTTTCTCCGAAGCAAGATGACATTAGGGGGTTCTCACTCAACAGGGCAGGTGAAGGCAATAGATTAGTCCATCAAATTCCAACAGGATCCCTTGGAATAAGGAAAAACAAGATTGTGAAAAGTGCTAAGTAAACTCATGGAATTGAATCCAACTTAAATATTACTGATACATTACGTATATTAATTTAGCGAGTTGTGTTTTTCCCCCCCAACCTACAGGGAATTTCTATTCTATTAATTTTCATAACTCTGGAAGTAAAGGAAAATGTATAATAGTTCAACACAAAAATGGGAAGAAAACAAAAATAAAACAAAAACGCATGATATCCAATGGAAGATTAATTGGCCTTAAAAAATTAGAAAAAAAGTCATTCCCAGATTAGATTAGCTTTTTGTTACATGTCTACCCAGCATTAGGCAGTACAAATATAAACATTTAACAAGGTTCAAGAGCAATCCCATGAAATTATGCTTTCTAAATAGTGTATTTGGATCATCCCTATAAAAATTCCATCAAATCAGTTGTTTCACAAATAAAAGGGACATTATATGCTTATGTGAACCACTTATTGAATCTACTAAAATCTGGAAAATAAATATTCACATTTGAAGCTCTTTTATTTGATGCAAACACCCGAGCTCTGCAGTGAGCCCTCAAGAAACGTGCTGTGGTTATGCTAATCAGGGTGCTCTCTTGCTTTCGGTTTCTCAACATATTCTGGAGCAGATACAAAGTATATTCCAGAGGGGACATTTAGTCAGCTTTTCCAGTCATCTTACCTGATGAGTGGAATTAAAGCGCTAAAAAAGGTGAAAAATGCACTGTGGCAGTGCTGCAAACGTGCAACCTTCTGTAGACGGGCTTGTATAGTGTATGCCTGCCACAAAAGTACTTCCATATCAAAATAGCATATGCTTCTACCTTGGACAGATTTGCACAGGAAACACGGACATGTAATTTCCATCAATGAGGTTGCAGAGAGGGTCAGGCGATCAGCATTGAGAGAACCCCAGCTTTTGCCAAACTAATCCAAAACAGTTTGACAGAAAACTAGAAATTAATACAAATAAACTCAGGGCACCACAAGCTATAATGAGTGTTATTAGTTATGGTGCTTAGTGTGTCCCTTTAAGATTACAGAAAAATGTATTAATTGCAAGCGCAATATTTTACAAGGGGTTAATCTCTTCACAACCAATCAGAACAACCACCCAGTGAATGAATTACAGTTCTTACATGAACTCCTGACATGGCATTTTTTGGTGAAACAATGCAAGCAGTTGCATAATAATTCATCATGTTATCTATACCTTGAAGGTGAGGCCAGTCATACAGTGTGTCTAAAATTTAATAGTTTTCACTCATGCGCTATAGATTGTTTTCTGTTTGGAGTTTTCTGTTAGGAATGTAGTTGCGGTCTAGGTGGCTGTCAGACACCAGCATCACATTGCAATTTTTCTCCAAATTCCCATTAGTCACGAACTCCTCTTCGGGGTTGGCTAAGAAAACCACAATGACAAGTCTGAAGGTGAAGTTATACCTCTGACAGTTTGGGTTAATGTCTATATATGCAGTACTTCATACAAAAACACTGCACAGACAGACACCAGGCACATTGGACACTTCGGTCAAGTGTTGATGGTGTTAAGAGTAACCTTTAATGTTACAGCTGAAAGGATACTGTACCTTAGAGTTGACACTTATAAGAAAACTGAAGTCACACTTTGTAGTAGCTTAAAGTTCACAGACTATTATTTAGGTGTATTAATTTGGACTTAAATCACCTTTAAAGAATTTGAAAAGTTACGTTTTTATTTTTGGAGTCAGTGAATCCAAACAGGCATGCTGATAGGATTTATTCTACATATGAATGTGTGCTGTTTAGGTTAACAAGGTAAAATCATATTTTTCCCTCTAAGGGATTGGTATTCAATTTAACATTTTAGGTCTGTGCAGTTATGTCATTTTTCTAAGAGCTGTAAAATGTGATCACAAATCATACCAATAAATTCAAACAGGATAGAGATAAAAGCCCTGCTGATGTATAATAAAGTTATATTTGGCTTTTAACTTAAAATGTTTTGAGCAAGGAGGCCAAATGCAAATCATCAGGGGTTGTACAGCATAGCACAAAACTGCCCTCTAGTGGTAAAGTATAGAATGGCTGTTTCTTTTGGAATGAGATTCTTTAATCTTTGGTTACTTAATTAAACACCTTTTACTAAAATATCACTTCTGTTTATTCTTTACACCTTTCTATAAAGAGTCTATGTATATAAACTATATTGGAATAATTGTGGAGTGTGTACATATGGTGCAACATATATAGCCTTTAAAATAATTGCTTATATGACAAATTACCACAAACTACTTTAGGCATGCGTAAATATTGATTCTTACCTTTAAAAATGGGATTAAAATGTTAAGAAAATAAAACAAATGTTATCTCCTGCAACTCCTGGCCCATTACAGGGTATCCGGACCTACATCAAAGTTTAAAATGTTGCACAACTGCTACAGGAAGCCAGTTTTCTTCCTAAGGAGAAAAAAATATATATCTATATTAGGCAAGGATCATATACAAGATAATATGCATGAAAATTTAAAGATTGCAAAATCGATAAGACAGCAGAAAACTAGGGACTACATTATCTCATTTAAATTAGCACTATAGGGTCAGGAACACAAACATTTATTCCTGACCGTATAGGGTTAAAACCATCTAGCCCCCTGGTCCCCCATGCCTCCCTAAATATAGTTAAATCTTACTTATATTCAAGCCTGGAACCACTTTGTCCCTGTTTCCTTTTGACCTGCCTGCTGACATCATCAGAAGTGTTATTCTGAGCCAATCACAATGCTTCCCCACAGGATTGGATGAGACTGTCAAGGAGGCAGATAAGAGGCAGAGCCAGCACAATTCAAACAGCCCTGGCCAATCAGCATCTCCTCATAGAGATGAATTGAATCAATGACTCTCTATGAGGAAAGTTCAGTGTCTGCATGCAGAGGGAGGAGATACTGAATGTTTGGATGCATTTAGGCAGCCAGGACCCAGGAAGGATCTCTAACAGCCATCTGAGGAGTGGCCGGTGAAGTTATCACTAGGCTGTAATGTAAACACTGCATTTTCTCTGAAAAGACCGTGTTAAAATCAAAAAGCCTGAAAGCAATGATTCTACTCACCAGAACAAATTCAAATTGCTCTAGTTGTTCTGGTGACTAGTGTGTCCCTTTAAGTTCTCAATTTTGGCAAGCTGTGTGGGGAGAGCTTCTGCAACCATATCCCCCCCCCTCCCCCAGGAGTAACTGCAATGGTTGATGGGAACAAGTATAGTATTGGGAATGTGCAAAAGAAATGTATCTACTATCCAACTGTCTGTTGGGATATTCCACAGAAACGTTTACGTAGCACTAAGAATTTCCTGTTTGTGTATTGTACTGCTTTGCTCCTGTTTAGTTGCTGCAGATACTCACCTTTTTAAGCAAGTGGCAGTATCACATCTAATTTTAATGTAGAAGCTATTTTTGGAAGGCTGTTCCTCTCCTACTCCTGAAAGTCATCAAGGTAGCATGGCCTGAGGATCTGATGCGCAATCCAAGTTTCCCCACAAAAACAAAACATTTAGCCAATGTTTTCATATAGGGGCTTCTCTGTCACATGACAGTTTTGCGGCCAGCGCCGTGGAAACGGCTCAAACTGTGGAAGACAGCCATTTTCTAAAAATCTTCAATGTGTTCCATTGCAGGGTTACACGGACAGAATCCCTGCACACAGGCAGTGTCATAGAAGTGAAGTGGCCTTTTAATGTTGAGCAAGCACAAAAAAATGTCAAAGTGAATAGAGTATATAGTAAATTTGTCAAAGCTCATCTTACAGTGTTTTTAGCCACAGAATAAGCATGAAATGTGAGCTCAGAGAAAATGTACAAGGAACAAGGAAGTTAATTTCACACTGATATCACAAGGTAAGGGCTTCTGGCTCTGGAGAGAATTCTGTATTTTGGAAATCTGCTTGAAAGACATTCAACAAAAACCAAAGGGTCTCAAAAATGTAAGATCATTGCACCTTTTGGTATGATTAGGAAAATATGACAGTTTAGGTTTGATAAAGAATATATGTGAACATGCATTTGGATAGAGGATTTTGAAAGAAAGCCCTTCCTGTTCTTTAAAAATCAATACATAAACTGGGCTCAAAAGTTCCAATTAGCACTAGCCATTGGTGGGTGAAAATTCACTCCTGGTGAGTGAGCCATAGACTATCCAGGCTTGCAGTCGTGGGTAACTTAAGGCAGGTCTGTATGTCTATTTCAGGGGTACACAACCTTTGGCATACAAGATGTTGTGGACTATATCTGCCATTATGTTTAGATCCATAATACCATTGGGAGCTGAAGTCCACATGTGGAGTGCTGAAGGATGCCTAGCCCCATCATATTTTGCCTAATAAGTGGGAATAAAAATTTAGAAAACAAGAGCAAAAGATTAACAGTCTGTCCTGATTATTAAATGCCTCAATGTCTAAAATCTAAATTACGCTAACCCTATATCTACTGCCAGATTAACCTATGCTTACACTTTACCAATATCAGTCTTGATATGAGCAGATGACTCAGAGTGGTATCATTTACTGCAAGTTTTTAGCATTACAGGCATTAACCTGTAATGCTGAAACCACAATGTGTCAGTTACACTGTAATCAGTTTTGGGCAGCTAGCAAAGCCCAGCACTGATCACAATTGTCATGGGGCCATTCTGTGAGACTGTCAGGGGTATTTTTTAGGAAATTGAGAAACTGTCAGTTACCTTCCAACAGCCACTAGAAGTGCTTCCCAGGTCAGTGTTGCACAGTGTGCAGCATTGACGTTCAGTGTCTCCACGCACTGCATGGAGACACTGAACGTTCCTCAGATATGCATTGATTCAATTCATCTCTGAGAAGATCCTGATCGGTGCATTCAGCATTTTGGGATAAGGTTAGAACATATACTGTTAGTGTAAGCGTAAATTAATCTGGCAGTTGGCATGCACTATAGTCTCCAAATGCTTTCCTATGGGCAGGGCCAATGCCAGCAGATCCGCGCAGCACTGGAATAAAGGAGAGTTTTACACCCTTTTAAAGGGGAATGAGAGGTAGCCAGGGACTTTACACTATATGGTCAGGAATACAGTGTTCCCTTAAAGTGATGGCACAAGAGTATTGTTGAGAATTATGAAGTAGTTTATGTTAAAAACAAACTTATCTGAATTCTTAAAATCAGTATAAAAGAACAAGAGAGAAGATGATTAGTGACCATGTAGTGAACTTTAAAGGGATCCTATAATGCCAGGTAAAACCCGTTTTCCTGGCACTATAGGCTCCTGAAGTGCCCCCCCTCCCTCGGGGCTGAAGGGGTTAAAACCTCTTCAGCCGCTTACCAGAATTCAGTGCAGATGTCCCTCGGCGCTGGGTCACACTCCTCCCCCGTCAGCGCATTAAACCTCCCGATAGGAAAGCATTATTCAATGCTTCCCTATGAGGAAAATCTGGCGCTGGAGGTCGGTGAGGACGTCCATAGTCAGATAACAGACCAAAAGTCATTTGGATTCCAGAAGCCCTCTAATGGCTGTCTGTTAGATAGCCACAGAGGGCAGACTTAGAGCTGCAATGTAAACATTCTCTGGAACTGCAATGTTTTACATGACAGCACTAAGTGCAAAAGGGTTACAGCACCCAGACTACTTCAATTAGCTGTAGTGGTCTGGGTGCCTACAGTGTCCCTTTAAAGTAATCAAATCTCAAATATCTGTAAGTTCCAAAAGGATGTTTGTAACTTTCTATATTTATGATGAATACAAAGTCAACTCTCCCTTTAACTCTGGGCAGGATACTCTTATAAATGTATTAAGTGGCACAGTCATTACATTTTCTTTCCTTATGACTCTTGTATCGGAATGATTATTTTGCACCCTTTATATTTTTTCTCCTTAAAGTACCACTATAGTGCCAGGAAGACACTTGTTTTTCCTGGCACTATAGTGCCCTGAGGGTGCCCCCACCCTCAGGGACCCCCTCCCGCCCAGCTCTGGAAAGGGTAGAGGGGTAAAAACTTACCTTTTTCCAGCGCTGGGCGGGGAGCTCTCCTCCTCCGATCCTCCTCCCCGTCGGCTGAATGCGCACGCGCGCATTTAGCCGGTCACATAGGAAAGCATTCATAATGCTTTCCTATGGACGCTGGCGTGCTCTCACTGTGAAAATCACAGTGAGAAGCACGCAAGCGCCTCTAGCGGCTGTCAATGAGACAGCCACTAGAGGATTAGGGGGAAGGCTTAACCCATTCATAAACATAGCAGTTTCTCTGAAACTGCTATGTTTATAAAAGAATGGGTTAATCCTGGCTGGACCTGGCAACCAGACAACTTCAATAAGCTGAATTGGTCTGGGTGCCTAGAGTGGTCATCCATTTTGTGCAGAAACTAGATTTTTTTTGACTGATGAGTAAATTAGCTTAAGCTCTACCAATTGCAACAGTTCACATTACACATAAGAAATTAGTCCCAACAGTTCCTGAGATAAAAAACTAAAGTGAATTTCAAAAACACCAAGGTGAAAGTGACAAAAAAATTTTAAATTATAGTTATGGAGCAATGATGGTGCTTTTTATGGCAAAGTTATCATTCTATGGTTTATCACACCGCTGTTTCATTGACAGCTACTAGAAGCGCTCTAATAGAATCACAATAAAATGGTGCTCACAGACAGCATTAGATTGGTGCACACCAGCATTTAGAAATATAGAATGTGATGGCAGATAATTCGGCCCATCTATTCTGCCCAATTTTCTAAAAATACTTTCATAAGTCCCTGGCCTTATCGTACAGCTAGGATAGTGCTCTGCATGCATGCTCATCTCCCAATGCTTCCCTATGGCGTTGCATTGATTGATCTCAGCCAATCGTGTTTATATTCCTAATGCTTTAGTGTTCCTTTACCATATATAAGGACTTATCAAGAGTATAATCCTTAAGGTGAAAGGGTAAACAAAACTATCAAGGGAAAGTAGGATGGGTGGATCAAATCCCCACAGTATCATGGGAGGCTGGTAGCCATGCAACAGTAGAAGTTGTATAGCAAATAGGAGACCATAAGAATCACATGTAATGTATATGTTTAATTCTGAGGCATCCACATGTCTGAGAAAAATATAGCGCAGGTAACAGCAGTATGTGCATTGCTCAGACTTCTTGGTGAAACCACAGGTGGTCTTGGGGTGATTGTATATAGCCTATGCGGTTATCTTACTAGATGCCATGTATTCATGGGACATCCTCTCACAGAACCAATCACAGAAAATAAAATAAAAAAACATTAAACTGGTATAAATGTAAAGTCTCAAATGCATGTCTTTTAGTACGCAACTATAAATTCTGCATAGTAGCCCAGAATTACACGGTTTACCCATTGCGTGCATTATGCAGCCAAAAACACTTGCTTTGAAACTACAATAAGTCACAGAGCTGCTGCTGATTTCAGACACTTATTCAATAAACTGAATTGTAAGCCAGTACAGCTGATCATAGTGGTTATTGTGCTATACCCCCTCATAGTATTTTAGAGAGGTCTGACAATCGGGTAACCTCGCCATTATAACCACTTCAGCTTTCTGTGACAGTTGTGGTGCATAGAAATCATCTTTTCAGCATGAAAATATTTCCAAGATATTAAAGGATCACAAACATGTATTCCTGAACTTATATAGTGTTAAAACCACCATCTAGCCCCCCTGGGCCCCCCCATGCCTCCAAATATATAGTAAAAATCTTCCTGTTTTCCAGACTGAAGCTGTAAACTCTGCATGCTGTTAGACTCAGAAAGCAAGCTGTCTGCTGACATCAACAGATGTGGTAGCCTGACCCAATCACAGTGCTTCCCCATAGGATTGGCTGAGACTGACATGGAGACAGATAAGGGGCAGAGCCAGCACAATTCATACACAGCCCTGGCCAATCAGCATCTTCTTATAGAGATGCATTTAATCAATGATGAGAATTCAGTGTCTGCATGCAGAGGGAGGAGACACTGAATGTTTGGATGCATTTTAGGCAGCCATGACCCAGGAAGGATCTCTACAGCCTAGTGATAACTTCACTGGCCACTCCTCAGATGGCTGTTAATGTAAACATTGCATTTCTCAGAAAAGACAGTGTTTACAAGAAAAAGCCTGAAGGTAATTATTCTACTGACCAGAACAAATTAAATAAGCTGTAGTTGTTCTGGTGACTATATAGTGTCCCTTTAAACTTTGTTAATTGACAGGGCTCCGGCACCTGTCAATCTGCATGGAAACTTTGTTAATAATGGGCTATGTCACTTATCCAAGTTTTGGGTTGAACTCTCATCGAAGGAAAAAGCTAGGCTACAGTTCTGTCAAAGTAGTCTGTTCATTACTCAGCTGTCCCCCAAACATAATTCTGCTGGTAATGTGTTTGGCAAAATGCACACAATGTTATGGAATACTTAGCCGGGGACACACTCATAACCTTTGCTTAGCGGTGGATAATTTAGACAGAGCAAAGTTCAAAATATAATTTTCCTACTTATGCCGGTTAAAGGGCACCTGTCATGCCCCAAACAACTTATGCTCATTAAACTGAGCATAACACTATCTATACATTGTGCTAGCATTATTAGCATCTATTAGCTAGATTATGGGAAAAAAAGTTTTTTTTCCTTCCAAGTGTCAGTGTTAGTCAATGTGCCGAGGCACTGACTGACAAAGGCTCTCCCAACCATAGAAACCACAGCGCATGCACTTCTAGTGTTGACTAGGCAATACTGCATAGTAACGTGACGACAATCCGTTAGACACCAGTACACGAGCAACAAAGTCAGTGAGCAAGTGTTCCCAAGCAGGTGGGTGATACATGAAGAGTTAATGGCAGGAGTACAGGAAGCTTGAAATGGAAAACTTTATGTATTAGTGATATATAATGAATACAATGTATATAGGAGCAATTTAAAGAAAGTTTATTTTTTGACAAAAGGTTGTCTTTAAAACTAGAAGAAAAAAAAACAAAAAAAAAAAAAACAGACATTTATCTATATACCAAACCAAGTTATGGTGGGGCAAAAAGTGATTGAAAGCCACTTCCACCTGAAGTCAGTGTATAGTCATACAACAGATCTGCACACATTAGTCAAGCCATACGTTTATGTTTGTTATATACAGCAGTTTTCCTCACCATAAATTTCTTGGTTTGTGCTCCGCAAGCAATGTCAAGCTTCAATAGCAACAATGTTAATTTTTGGTGGCAAATTTCAATTTAGTTTTAGTCAGTCTTGACTGAAAAGTAATTTTAGCTTTAGTCAACTACCTCAAAAATTTTAGTTAACTAAAATGGTTAGTCAACAAAATTAATACTGAATAGCAAGTCAGTAACCAACCTCATTCTAATTAGTTGCATTAACAAAACAGCCGTACATCCATGAGCGATTAACTGGTTTTGCAGCTCTTTCAGAGTTGTGTTTTAAAGCAGTTGTAGAGCAAACAAACTTCAAGGAATCCATGCTTAAAATGCAATAATGAAGGACAAAAGTGATTCTTTGCATAGGTCCACCCAGAATCCCTTGCAGTAGTAACATCACTGCGATTTTTAGATTTCAGTGGGAAAGGCAAGTCTTATGTGCAGGTCTGTGGTTAATGTAGGGTAACATACACAATATATGAAATACAGCAGACATCAAATGCCCTTTTCATCCTTTTTCTTGTCATTAGTAGTCAATGACAGTTCACGTTCTTTAAAACTTTGGACGCAATTGCAACTTTAAATGTCCTAGGGATATGTAAAAACATGCTGGTTATTTTTATTGTTCTATACATTTTGGCTGGTGGATAATGCTGGCACCCAAGAGTAGTGGGAGTTTGAGAGCAAGCTTTTCTTTCGGTTTAAACTAAATACACCTAAACCACAACACCTTGGGCAGTTGCGGTGAGGCATTTGCTAATTCTACAATTCGTCTCACTGCAAGTTGGCTGCTAGAACTGTATATTAAACATTTTAAGTGAGCCATCTATATATATCAATAAAACGGCTGAATGGCGTACACGCTGGTAAGAGATTAAATATTCTTCATTTGTCCTTGATATAAAGCCTGAACGTGGTTTGGTAAAACCAGAGGGCTTTTGAGCTTTGATTTATTTACATGTTTATTTTGGAGGATCTGTAATCTTATTTTGTGAAATATGTAAAAAGATATGATAGACTGAGGACCAATGTGCAATATACGCTTCCTTTAAAGCATAAAATCCTATTTACATGACCTTTGTGTGCTTTAAATCACCGTTTTAGATTAAATCATTAGTCTGCTGTGATATTACCAACTTTATTCTTGAAAAGAACATTTTATAGACCAGGCATAGGCAACCTTCGGCACTCCAGATGTTTTGGACTACACCTCCCAAAATGCTTTGCCTGCATTACGGGTGTAAGAGCATTATGGGGAATGTGGTTCAAAACATCTGGAGTGCCGAAGGTTGCCTATCCTTGTTATAGACAGTGTCACTTTAAAGGGACACTATAGTCATCAGAACAACTACAGCTCATTGTATTTGTTCTGGCGAGTATAATCACTCTCTTCAGGCTTTTTGCAGTTAACATGGTTTTCAGAGAAAATGCAGTGTTTACATTACAGCCTAGGGACAACTCCACTAGCCACTCCTCAGATGGCTACTAGAGGTGCTTCCTGTGGCAGTGCTGCACACTACTGCCATTCAGTGTCTCCACGTTCTGCATGGAGACCGTGAACTTTCCTCAATTCAATGCATCTCTATGAGGAGATGTGCTGGCTCTGCCCCAGATCTGACTCCTTGACAATAGTCAATCCAATGTGAAAGCATTGTGACTGCTCAGACCACCACCACTTTCGGGATCGACTGATAATGTTTCTTTAGAGCAGATACCGATAACTTGCCAATATTCTGTACATTTACCATTTTGAAAAAAATACAACTATTTCTAAAAGGTAAATGCACAAAATATACATGCCATATGTAGTGGATGCAGTGTGTTTAGACAGGGGAGCTGTGTGTGAATATATTTATTTTGAATGCTGTTACCTCCCAGCAGCTCCCCAGTGCAAATCTCGCAGAGCATTGCCATGGTGCACTGGGGAGCTGGAGGACCTGCAGGGAGGTAATTTACAGTTTTCTGCCGGCCCCACCAGGACCGCCAGGCTTGTAATGGGCCCGGCGGTCCATGTATTATCAGCAATATTGGTTGTAGCAGATGGCACTGGACTGTCCTGAAGGGTTAGGTTAAAAAGGCAATTTGTGTGTTTTATTTCCCTGTATAATTAACATTGTATGTATTATTCGTATGTTTGTTCGGTAGTTTTCATCCGTATCCCATACAAATGAAAACTACCGAACCAGTAGACCACCCCAGAGAGAAGTGTGTACCTTATTAGGCTTTCACACTTCTCTAACCGCAAATCAATCGGTACTTTATTGCTGTATCTGGGTGGCTGCCGTTCGGCATACGAACGCATGGCGGCAGTCATCTTACGCACGAAACCTCAGCAGTGTTTGGTCGTCGAGTGTCTAGAACTCAAATCGGACATTCGATTATCCGAACACTGCTGAGTCCTCCAGAGCTCCGTAACTCTGGAACGGAGGAGCCAACCAGCCCCTCGTTCAGTGAAGTCAACGTACCGAACAAGGGGATTCATACGAACACCGTTTTATTAGTGGATGGCAAAGATTTATATCGGTTTTATCTCCCGAACGGAGACCGACTGCAGGGCCAAAACACATGGAGCCCTTTTCGGCTACCACCTCATGTGCGGTCGGTCAAATTGTTTCTCCCCCATAACTCCCGAACCCCATGTCCGATCTGGGTGAATTTTGAACATGTTAGTCACCTAGATCAGGGCTACCAGAAGGTGCCACTTAGATAATTGTACCCCACAGTTTTAGGGTACATCCAGAAACCGGGTAAAACTATAACAGAGATAAGGGGATTATGTGTAACACTGAGGTGAGGAGATGTATGGGAGGTAACTACTGTACTATTGGCTACTGTCCAAATTATTGTAAATCCCTCCCTTGCATGGGAGAATCCTTTATAAGGAATCTGTGTGATTAAAAGTTCAGTTCTGCTCCTGATGCTGTGCGTCGTCCAGTCATTGGGATTGAGGTTGGGCTATTGTTGGAGTGTTTTGCAAGCTGGAAATATTGCCTTCTGGATTTATAATACTTGTTCCTGAGCCTTACTGGGATCTAAAGTGGAGATAACCTGTGTAATAGCAGCGGTGGGGTCCAGACTCACAAAGGAACAAGGACTAATTGAATACGGATGGAGAGTGATTATTCTAAGCTAAAAAGATCCACACTAAAAGACCTACTAGAAGCAAGAGGTATTGCAGCAAGCAACAAAAGAAAAGCAACGCTCATTGCAGAGGTTATGGCAGAATACCAAACCGAGGGCAGTGCAATCCCTGAACAGCGAAACTCAGCAGATGGATCTGAACAAGAGGAATTTCAAAAGGCAGCTACAATTTAGGCTGGCCTATGAAGAAAATCCAAAGGCTGACATTATCTCCAGGACTATGACCGAAGTGCAGGAATTTATAATACGCCAAAGACCACATAGAGAAACACAGCAACCACTACCAACACAGAGGGCAAGACAAAAATACCTTACCAAGCTTTTAAAACTTATGTGGAGGCAGAGGAGGACATAGATGCATTCCTCCAAGACTTTGAGAGACTGTGCACTGCATAAGATTGGTCTAGAAGAGTGGGTACCCATTTTAGCAGGTCGGCTAACTGGGAGGGTAGCTGAGGCATACAGAACGGTACCAGACGAGGAAATTCGGAACTACCATAGGGTAAAAGAAGTTATTCTGGCCCGATATGCCATCACACCAGAGGCATACTGGAGGCGATTCAGAGAGCTGAAAAGGACTCACATGTTGAATGGGCTTGCAGGCTGCACAGGGCCGCCCTCAGATGGGTACAGGCAAACAAGGCTCGGTCCATGGAGGACTTATTACAGATGCTGCTATTAGAACAATTTTATGATGGGATCCAGACAGATTTACATGAATGGGTAAGGGACCGCAATCCAACCTCCCTCAGAGGCAGCTAAGAAAGCGGACGAATACTTGGATGCCCGCAGACAACAAAAACCTGCCCCCACCAAGACAGTGATCCGACCCGTAGGGTGAAGCAGCCACCCCCTCAGCACAGCACCACCTCGACAACTACCACCCTATCCACCAGCCGCCACACAGAGGTTCCGGGCACCCAGCTCTGTGCAATGCCACCAGTGCCAAAGGTGGGGACACTATAAACGAGAGTGTCCCCAACTAAGAGACTGCTCTACCTGGATCTGTCCAAGCCCTCCTCCACCACCTCGAGCAGCAGCTCACTGCTACCAACCTGAGACACCAACTTCATATGGCTCAGCAATCCCCATCACAACTGTGGAACAATGGGAAGTGTTACATGAAGCAGATCCCATACAAGTGAATTCAGACAACCGTCAACATCATCGATAAACTGTCTACCTAGAGGGGGAAAGCGGTACAAGGGCTCCACGACTCTAGAGCCACCATAACTCTAGTCAAAAGTCACCTTGTACCCGATCAAGCAAAGACCAGCCGAACTGTAGCAGTCAGGGTAGCAGTATACCGGCTACCCACAGCTCGTGTACATTTGCATTGGGGAGCGGGGTTTGGTAATGTGGAAGTGGGGTTAATGCCACAATTGCTGGCTGAAGAATGATATGGGCAAACTCACTTCTGCTTTTGAGCCCCAGGCACCAGCAACCGGAGAAGCACACCCAGTGGTCACTCGACAACAGGCCCGCACCCAGGACTACAACACACTCCCGGAGGTCCAGGTAAGAGATCCTTTCCCTTCCTTAGAATGTATCCCCTGAGCTCTGAATTTGCGGCCGAGGTGATCACTGACCCCACAATACAGGTCTAGAGAGACAAGGTTACCTCAGACCAACCTTGGGGGGGGGTGGGGGGGGGAGGGCAAAAGATTTGTATGGGATAAACCGCTGCTGTATAGGGAGTCTGACAAGCAGGTAGCTGGGTCAGACCAGATAGTCATGAGGCAGCTAGTAGTACCACAGCGGTACCGATCTGAATTACTTCAGATAGCGCACGATAGTCCGCTATCCAGACATTTGGGGGTCAGGCGCACCCGGCACCGACTGACCCAAAGTTTCTTTTGGCCAGGAGTTAGCCAGGAAGTTCGTAGGTACTGCAGTACTTGTGACATGTGCCAACTGGTAGGGAAAAGAGGGGACAGGCGGAAGGCAAGACTGCCCCTGCTACCCATAATTGAGGAGCCGTTCAGTAGGGTAGCTGTAGATTTAATAGGCCCCCTTCAGAGACCCAGCCCTTCTGGTAAAAAGTATATTTTAACGGTAGTAGACTATGCCACCCGATATCCAGAGGCGGTGGCTTTGACTAACATCCATGCAGAAACATGGCCGAGGCCCTGATGCAGATTTTCTCCAGGATGGGGTTACCCAGGGAGATCATCTCGGATCAGGGCACCCAGTTCACTGCGGAAGTTACCCAGCACCTCTGGAAATTCTGACAAGCCTATAATCAGTGCTCCATACCATCCCCAGACCAATGGAACATTGAAACAAATGCTCCGAACCTTCGCAGACACCCATAGGGACTGAGCGATTCATGCCCCATCTCCTACTCGCTTACAGGGAGATGCCGCTGCAATCGACCGGGGTTTCCCCATTTGATTATTTGGGAGGAGGCTTGACCTGATTAGGGGGAACTGGGCGGGAGACCGGAGCGCAGACGGTACCCCCATCATACCATATGTGCTGGCATTCCGAGATCGTATGGAAGCATTGACTAAGTCTTTAAGGGAGAACCTCCAGGCCGCTCAGACTCGCCAGCGCAAATGGTATGATCGGGGCGCCAGGGACCGTAGCTTCCAGGTTGGGCAGAAGGTTTTAATTTTAAAACCTGTCCGACATAAGCTACAGGCCGCCTGGCAGGGCCCTTATAAAGTGGTGGAACAAAGATGTGACACGACCTATATAATTGGCACCTACGCCGGAACTGGAGGGCAACGCATGTGAACATGATGAAGCCCTACCAGGAACAGTCAGAGGAGGTAACAGCCATTTGTGCCCCCTCCTTTGAGGAGTTCGACAACCTTCCCATCCCAGATCTGCTGGGGGACGGTCGGCTGTCCGGGGATCTAGGGGAGGTTACACTGGGAGATCGGTTGAGCCCACAGGAGCGTAGCGAGGTACAACAGTTACTAAAGAAGAAACAAGATACCTTTTCCAGTACACCTGGGTACACCCCTCTGGCCACTCACCAGGTAGAAATCCCAGGGCAGCTTCCCATGCGCCAGACACCTTACCTTATCCCTGAAGCAGTAAGAGAACATGCGCAAGGAGATCAAGGATATGCTCCAACTGGGGGTGATTGAGCAGTCAGATAGCCTCTTGGCCTCCCCGGTAGTCCTCGTAACTAAGCGGGACGGCACGACCCGCTTCTGCGTGGATTACCGGAGGTTAAATGAAAAGACAGTATCTGACACATACCCTATGCCCTGGAGAATGAACTGTTAGACCGGATGGCCAGGGGCCAATACCTCACGACCATTGATCTTTGTAAGGGGTATTGGCAGATTCCCCTGGCCCCGGACGTCATCCCTAAGTCCGCCTTTGTCGCCCCATTCGGCTTGTACCAATTTAAGGTGATGCCGTTTGGGATGAAAAACGCACCGGCTACCTTCCAGAGGATGGTGGATCGGCTCCTAGATGGGTTTCAAGATTACACCTGTGCTTATTTAGATGACATTGCTATCTTTAGCAATACCTGGCCCACATAGGAGTAGTGTTAGATAGAATCTGGGAAACCGGATTAACCTTGAAACCTGCTAAATGCAGTATAGGTATGGCTGAGGTACAGTACCTCGGACACCGAGTAGGGTGCGGGAAGCAGAAGCCTGAACCCGCAAAGGTAGACGCCGTAGCACAATGGCCAACCCCCAGGACAAAAGACCCAAGTACTTGTTTTTCTGGGGACCGCCGGGTATAACAGGAAATTCATGCCGAACTATAGCGCCCTGGCCAAAACCCTTACTGACCTTACCCGCAAAAACCTTCCCCGCCAAGTAACCTGGACCCCGGAGTGTGAGCAGGCATTCCAACTTTTGAAAAATGCACCGCTACATTGGTATCTATATTGGCTGATACCGATATATACAGAGACAGAAACTGCAGACTTGAACTCAAGTAAGATTTTACTATATTTAGGGAAGCGGGGGAGGCTAGATGGTGGTTTTTATACTATAGGGTCAGGAATACATGTTTTGTTCCTGACCCTCTAGTGCTCCTTTAAGGGTTTCAACCAGTCTTCTGAAGAGGATAGACCTAGGACAGATTTCAGGATGAATATGCAATATACACATAAGTAAATCAGTATGTGGCCTTCAATGCATGTCCTTAGAAGTCATGGCCTATGTAGTTTGAGGCGAACTAAATTCAGAATGTCTTGTCTAGAAGGAAACTATGGAATGTACGCTTTGCATTGCAGAAGTGTAACATTGCGTACACACAAATTTGACAAGTTTTCATTTTTTTTTTTTATGACAGATCCTTAAAATGCAAGGATAGCTGGACACAATGGGGGGAGCACTTACAGCCTTATTACCTGTTCAAAGCAATGTGAAAATAGAGTTAAGTGTAACGCATCAATTTTGAAACTACCTGTGTCAGGACTCCAGGATAGGAGAGAACATTTCTCTTTCTTCAAAGAGAGGCTAGCCGACTATGACAAGTACTATAATCCCAATAAAAGCTTAAGTGGCACTACTGCCTTGTGTTAGACTGGAGATTAAGTAGCCTGCATGTATTTGTCATTTCAGTAATCAAAGTGACACTACATTAAGGTTTATTTTGTATTGCACATTCCATTTCCGTTTCTTTGGTTTATAAGCAAGCGAAAAGAAGAACTCCATACTACATCGCTGGCATATAGGCAAGGGTTTGTTAATGCAAGCACATTATTAGTACAAATTAAAGATTACAACGGGACAAGAGACACTATGGGGCACACTTTATAGTAAGTCTCAGAACAAACAAAGCAGTGTCTACACTGAATCGTAGAAACAGGGGTTTAAACTGTGGGCTTAACAAAACATGAAGCTCTCCAAAAAGACTGAAACCTTGGTGGTTCCCTTGAAGCCTTGACCCACTACAATTACAATTATGCCTAAACTGATCACACCTTAAAAATTCCTTTTTATTTAAAAGGACCAAACTTCTGGAATAAAAGGGAATCATGACATGTCACATGTCATGTGTCCTTAAGGGGTTAAAAAAAAAAAAAACCACACTTATAGTAACTACACTAAAAAGACACCTATTCTCAGAATTAAAACAGACTAGTTTTCATAAAATCCACACTTTACAGAAATCATATACATTCAGTCTAGTAAACGGCTTATGGATTGATTACATTTCACCGCGCCCCCCCCCCCCCAATCATCTACGGTGTGTTTATAGATTTATTCAAGTAAACATTGTAGTTTGCTGGCAGTGTATAGCTGGGATGCATTTGGCATTTTATTTTGTCGTTGTCTAGTACACATGACTACACAGTGAACAAGAAAAATCTATGGACCAGTAGTAAACATTACACAACAGGTCTCAGTTTCAATTTTAGAACAGACTCCTCAGGTTCTCACTGTACCCTTTAGAGGAAACTGACTTCACATGTGCAACCTGTGACCTACAGAGGTGATATCACTCAACAGTCACCTTTGGCACGTCAAACGATGTGGATTTGAAGTTGGTCAAACATTTTTAACATAGTCCACAACCGGCAAGGTTACCTGTCGTGGCAGTGTGTGGAAATAGAGTCACTTAAGAAGTTTATCAAGCAGAACAGATAGGGTAGGTACAAGCAGGTAAGTCACCAGCTAGAGTACCAATAATCCCTTGCTTACTCCATTACTGGAAATACTATGAAGTAAAAGCCCTCAATGGCCATCAACAATAAATGAGCCAATGAGGTGCCAAGTGTTCATTCACCCTACATAAGACCAAGTGAGAGCGAGCAATTATCAGTCACTCACCCCCCTGTAGCTGGAGTGCAAGGCTTCAACCCTGAGATGCAGTAAGAGTCACTGCCAAGTGTTCACTCATCCCCTGAGATGGAGTGAGAGCCATTACCAGAGTCACTCAGTCCTGCTAAAATGAAGGGGGGGTGAGTATTGTCTCCCACACACTAACCCTCAACTGTAGTGTACGTGCGGGCCATGTTCTTCAAGGACTGTGTGGAGTAGGGGGGCTCACTCAGCGCTGTTAGTGTGAGGGGGGGGGCCTCACTCAGCGCTGTTAGTGTGAGGGGGGGGGCCCCACTCAGCGCTGTTAGTGTGAGGGGGGGGCCTCACCTCAGCTGCTAGTGTGAGGGGGCCCCACCAGCGCTGTTAGTGTGAGGTAGCCCCACTCAGCTGTTAGTGTGAGGGGGGGGCCTCATCAGCGCTGTTAGTGGGGCCTCACTCAGCGCTGTTAGTGTGAGGAATTTCACTCAGCGCTGTTGCTAGTGTGAGGGGCCTCACCTCAGCTGTTAGTGTGAGGGGGGGGGGCCTCACTCAGCGCTGTTAGTGTGAGGGGGGCCCTCACTCAGCGCTGTTAGTGTGAGGGGGGGCCCCACCTCAGCGCTGTTAGTGTGGGGCCCCCACTCAGCGCTGTTAGTGTGTGAGGGGGGGCCCCACTCCAGCGCTGTTAGTGTGAGGGGTTTCACCCAGCGCCGTTAGTGTGAGGGGGGGGGCCCTCACCTCAGCGCTGCTAGTGTGAGGGGGCTCACCAGCGTGCTGGCCATAGTGTGAGGTGTGGGGCCTCACTCAGCGCTGTTAGTGTGAGGGGCCTCACCTCAGCTGTTAGTGTGAGGGGGGGCCCCACCAAGGCTGCTGTTAGTGTGAGGGGGCCCCACTCAGCGCCAGCATAGTGTGAGGTAAATACCCTCACCCAGCGCCAGCAGGTGAGGGGGGGCCCCACCAGCGCCGTTAGTGTGAGGGGGGGGCCCCACCAGCGCTGCTAGTGTGAGGGTTCCCCACTCAGCGCTGCTAGTGTGAGGGGGGCCCCACCTCAGCGCTGTTAGTGCATTCCCACTCAGCGCTGTTAGTGCAGGGGGGCCCCACCAGCGCTGTTAGTGTGAGGTGGGCCTCACTCAGCGCTGTTAGTGTGAGGGGGGGGGCCTCACTCAGCGCTGTTAGTGTGAGGGGGGGCTCACTCAGCGCTGTTAGTGTGAGTGGCTGTGAGTTTGCGGCCTACACTCAGGGTGTGAGTTAGTGAGGGGCAGTCGGTGGTTGTGTTGGAGGACGCTCTCTCTCTCTCTCTCAGTCTCTCTCTGTGTCCCCTCCCCCGCTCTCTCCCCCCTCACACACAGCCCGCCAGCCCCTCTGACGGAGAGCCCGGTGCCCGCCCGGAGGACCAGGCTCAGCGGCCGCCGGAAGCCCCGGGGCGGGAGGGCGGGACTCCGCGAACACGGACAGCACAACCGCAAAAAGTACAACAAATCAATACCTGAGGGGAAGCAGCCCGAGCCAGTCAGGCGGGAAAATCGCTCGGCACTATAGGCGACTTTCCAAGATGGTGGACATATCAACTCTTCCAAACACTCCCCTTCTCCTTCAGGAGGAGCCTACAGCCAATCCGTGGCAATGTCCCGCCTTCGCTTTATCGCACGAGGCTGCCAATGGCTCAGCGAGCTGTCACTCAAGAATAACCGCCCTGTTGTTCTGAGGATGCGGTTGGCCATTGGTTAGACGGCTTGTCAATCACTGTGCTCCCCTCACGGAGATTGCCGCGATGTGATTGGTGGAGCCGCAAAGGAGTCAAACTTTAACTTTGCCAATAGCCCGTAATGGTTGGCGCATCTACAGCCTGCTCGGCCTTAGCAACAAACCTACGTCACGGAGATTGACAGTTATCTCAGCCAATCGCAGTGAGCTATGGGAGACGCTCGGCCAATCGGATGCCGGCCTCTCCTGTCCCTTTCCCTCCAGTCGCGGGGTTTCGGGGGCGGGTCTTGTAGCCGCTGTTTCGGGGCAGAGAATAGGGGGATGGTGCGCGCGGTGCCCCGTGGCTCAGTGTGTTATAGAGAAATAGCGGGAACGATGAGCAGATCGAGTTATATTATTATTAGAATCAGTCAGAGCCGCACTGAGAGCGGGTTTGATTCAAATGGGGAATATGAGCTCAGGCTGCGTCACGTGATGACGTATCACCTCCTATAGGCAGTCTCTCCCCCTGGCGGCTGTGGCGGGGAGTTAGCTCAGATGGTAAAGCGCTCGCTCAGTGTAAGAGAGGCCGTGAGATCGATCCCCGCCTCCCTCCCACAGCCTGCGGTTATCGCTTTTATTCCTCTCTAGGATCATTAACCCCTTCAGCACCGGACTGTTTTGCCCATGTTTCACGTTAAGGACCGGGGCTGTTTTAACCCCTTCAGGACCGGGCTGGTTTAGCCATGTTGTACGTTAAGGACCGGGGCTGTTTTAACCCCTTCAGGACCGGACTGTTTTGCCCATGTTTCACGTTAAGGACCGGGGCTGTTTTAACCCCTTCAGGACCGGGCTGGTTTAGCCATGTTGTACGTTAAGGGCCGGGGCTGTTTTAACCCCTTCAGGACCGGACTGTTTTAGCCATGTTGTACGTTAAGGGCTGGTGCTGTTTTAACCCCTTCAGGACCGGAGTGTTTTGCCCATGTTGTACGCTAAGGACCGGGGCTGTTTTAACCCTTCAGGACCGGACTGGTTTAGCCATGTTGTACGTTAAGGACCGGGGCTGTTTTAACCCCTTCAGGACCGGACTGTTTTGCCCATGTTTCACGTTAAGGACCGGGGCTGTTTTAACCCCTTCAGGACCGGACTGGTTTAGCCATGTTCGCCCGCGCGTTGGGGCGAGGCTGTTTTGCTTGCTCAGGACCGGACCTGGCTTTTAGCCATGTTATGCGCTAAGGACGGGGCTGTTTAACCCCTTCAGGACGGACTGGTTTTAGCCATGTTTATGCTGTGGGACGGGCTGTTTTAACCCTTCAGGACCGGACTGGTTTAGCCATGTTGTACGTTAAGGACCGTGGCTGTTTTAACCCCTTCAGGACCGGACTGTTTTGCCCATGTTGTACGCTAAGGACCGGGGCTGTTTTAACCCCTTCAGGACCGGACTGGTTTAGCCATGTTGTACGTTAAGGACCGGGGCTGTTTTAACCCCTTCAGGACCGGACTGGTTTAGCCATGTTGTACGCTAAGGACCGGGGCTGTTTTAACCCCTTCAGGACCGGACTGGTTTAGCCATGTTGTACGTTAAGGACCGTGGCTGTTTTAACCCCTTCAGGACCGGACTGTTTTAGCCATGTTGTATGCTAAGGACCGGGGCTGTTTTAACCCCTTCAGGACTGGACTGTTTTGCCCATGTTTACGTTAAGGACCGGGGCTGTTTTAACCCCTTCAGGACCGGACTGGTTTAGCCATGTTGTACGTTAAGGACCGGGGCTGTTTTAACCCCTTCAGGACTGGACTGTTTTGCCCATGTTGTACGTTAAGGGCCGGGGCTGTTTTAACCCCTTCAGGACCGGACTGTTTTAGCCATGTTGTACGCTAAGGACCGGGGCTGTTTTAACCCCTTCAGGACCGGACTGTTTTGCCATGTTGTACGTTAAGGACCGGGGCTGTTTTAACCCCTTCAGGACCGGACTGGTTTAGCCATGTTGTACGCTAAGGACCGGGGCTGTTTTAACCCCTTCAGGACCGGACTGGTTTAGCCATGTTGTACGTTAAGGACCGTGGCTGTTTTAACCCCTTCAGGACCGGACTGTTTTAGCCATGTTGTATGCTAAGGACCGGGGCTGTTTTAACCCCTTCAGGACTGGACTGTTTTGCCCATGTTTCACGTTAAGGACCGGGGCTGTTTTAACCCCTTCAGGACCGGACTGGTTTAGCCATGTTGTACGTTAAGGACCGGGGCTGTTTTAACCCCTTCAGGACTGGACTGTTTTGCCCATGTTGTACGTTAAGGGCCGGGGCTGTTTTAACCCCTTCAGGACCGGACTGTTTTAGCCATGTTGTACGCTAAGGACCGGGGCTGTTTTAACCCCTTCAGGACTGGACTGTTTTGCCAATGTTGTACGTTAAGGACCGGGGCTGTTTTAACCCCTTCAGGACCGGACTGGTTTAGCCATGTTGTACGTTAAGGACCGGGGCTGTTTTAACCCCTTCAGGACCGGACTGTTTTGCCCATGTTGTACGTTAAGGGCCGGGGCTGTTTTAACCCCTTCAGGACCAGACTGTTTTAGCCATTTTGTACGTTAAGGGCCGGGGCTGTTTTAACCCCTTCAGGACCGGACTGTTTTAGTCATGTTGTACGTTAAGGGCTGGTGCTGTTTTAACCCCTTCAGGACCGGAGTGTTTTGCCCATGTTGTACGCTAAGGACCGGGGCTGTTTTAACCCCTTCAGGACCGGACTGTTTTGCCCATGTTGTACGTTAAGGGCCGGGGCTGTTTTAACCCCTTCACGACCGGCCTGTTTTAGCCATGTTGTACATTAAGGACCGGGGCTGTTTTAACCCCTTCATGACCGGACTGTTTTACCCATTTGGTACGTTAAGGGCCAGGGCTGTTTTAACCCCTTCAGGACTGGACTGTTTTTGCGATGTTGTACATTTGCGACCAGGCCTATATTTCCACTCTTGTGGTGTTTGTGTTTAGCTGTAATTTTCCGCTCTCTCATTTATTGTTCCCATACAAATTATTTATTGTTTTTTTTTCAGGACAAAAGGGGCTTTCTTTACATACCATTATTTATATAATCTCATGTAATTTAATTAAAAAAAAAAAAATACATGTTTTTTTACTTTTACTTGAAAAATATTTTACTCACCTACAAAAGCTAATGAAAAAAACTGCTAAATAGATTCAAACTTTTGTCTTGAGTTTATAAACACCCAGTGTTTACATGTTTTTTAGCTTTTTTTTTTTTGCAAGTTATAGGGCTATAAGTACAAGTAGGATATTGCTATTTCAAAATATATATTTTAAAAATTTATCAATAGTGACATTGTAACACTATTATCTGTCATAAATCCCAGAATTACACCTCAAATGTACATAGACAACCCAGGGTATTCAATGGGGTATGTCCAGTCTTTTTTAGTAGCCACTTAGTCACAAACACTGGCCAAAGTTAGCATATATATTTGTTTGTGTGTGAAAATTGCAAAAAACGAAATTGAACGCTAATTTTTCTCAGTGTTTGTGACTAAGTGGCTACTAAAAAAGACTGGACATACCCCATTTGCAATAACTTGGGTTGTCTTCTTTTGCAAATGGTATGCCATCATTGAAAGTGTATCAATTAAACTGTTAATAGCTCCTGACTGATTCCTCTTCTGCAACTGTCACTAGTCTAATACTATCCTTACCTTTGTGTCACTATACCCCACTCCCTGTAACATGTAAACTCACTGAGCAGGGCCCTCAATCCCTCTGTTACTGTGTCACTATACCCCACTCCCTCTAACATGTAAACTCACTGAGCAGGAGCCCCAATCCCTCTGTTACTGTCACTATACCCCACTCCCTCTAACATGTAAACTCACTGAGCAGGGCCTCAATCCCTCTGTTACTGTGTCACTATACCCCACTCTCTCTAACATGTAAACTCACTGAGCAGGGCCTCAATCCCTCCGTTACTGTGTCACTATACCCCACTCCCTCTAACATGTAAACTCACTGAGCAGGCCCTCAACCCCTCTGTTACTGTGTTGCTATACCCCACTCCCTCTAACATGTAAACTCACTGAGCAGGCCCTCAATCCCTCTGTTACTGTGTCACTATACCCCACTCCCTCTAACATGTAAACTCACTGAGCAGGCCCTCAATCCCTCTGTTACTGTGTCACTATACCTCACTCCCTCTAACATGTAAACTCACTGAGCAGGGCCCTCAATCCCTCTGTTACTGTGTCACTATACCCCACTCCCTCTAACATGTAAACTCACTGAGCAGGCCCTCAATCCCTCTGTTATTGTGTCACTATACCCCACTCCCTCTAACATGTAAACTCACTGAGCAGGGCCCTCAATCCCTCTGTTACTGTGTCACTATACCCCACTCCCTCTAACATGTAACCTCACTGAGCAGGGTCTCAATCCCTCTGTTAATGTGTCACTATACCCCACTCTCTCTAACATGTAAGCTCACTGAGCAGGCCCTTAATCCTTCTGTTACTGTGTCAATATACCCCACTCCCTCTAACATGTAACCTCACTGAGCAGGCCCTCAATCCCTCTGTTACTGTGTCATTATACCCCACTCCCTCTAACATGTAAACTCACTGAGCAGGGCCCTCAATCCCTCTGTTACCGAGTCACTATACCCCACTCCCTCTAACATGTAAACTCACTGAGCAGGGCCTCAATCCCTCTGTTACCGTGTCACTATACCCCACTCCCTCTAACATGTAAGCTCACTGAGCAGGCCCTCAATCCCTCTGTTACTGTGTCACTATACCCCACTCCCTCTAACATGTACACTCACTGAGCAGGCCCACAATTCCTCTGTTACTGTGTCACTATACCCCACTCCCTCTAGGATGTAAACTCACTGAGCAGGCCCTCAATCCCTCTGTTACTGTGTCACTATACCCCACTGCCTCTAGCATGTAAGCTCACTGAGCAGGACCTCAATCCCTCTGTTACTGTGTCACTATACCCCACTCCCTCTAACATGTAAACTCACTGAGCAGGGCCCTCAATCCCTCTATTACTGTGTCACTATACCCCACTCCCTCTAACATGTAAACTCACTGAGCAGGCCCTCAATCCCTCTGTTACTGTGTCACTATACCCCACTCCCTCTAACATGTAAACTCACTGAGCAGGGCCCTCAATCCCTCTGTTACTGTGTTACTATACCCCACTCCCTCTAACATGTAAACTCACTGAGCAGGGCCCTCAATCCCTCTGTTACTGTGTCACTATACCCCACTCCCTCTAACATGTAAACTCACTGAGCAGGCCCTCAATCCCTCTGTTACTGTGTCACATACCCCACTCCCTCTAACATGTAAACTCACTGAGCAGGCCCTCAATCCCTCTGTTACTGTGTCACTATACCCCACTCCCTCTAACATGTAACCTCACTGAGCAGGCCCTCAATCCCTCTGTTACGGTGTCACTATACCCCACTCCCTCTAACATGTAAACTCACTGAGCAGGACCCTCAATCCCTCTGTTACTGTGTCACTATACCCCACTCCCTCTAACATGGAAACTCACTGAGCAGGGCCCTCAATCCCTCTGTTACTGTGTCACTATACCACACTCCCTCTAACATGTAAACTCACTGAGCAGGTCCTCAATCCCTCTGTTACTGTGTCACTATACCCCACTCCCTCTAACATGTAAACTCACTGAGCAGGCCCTCAATCCCTCTGTTACTGTCACTATACCCCACTCCCTCTAACATGGAAACTCACTGAGCAGGGCCCTCAATCCCTCTGTTACTGTGTCACTATACCCCACTCCCTCTAACATGTAAACTCACTGAGCAGGCCTCAATCCCTCTGTTACTGTGTCACTATACCCCACTCCCTCTAACATGTAAACTCACTGAGCAGGCCCTCAATCCCTCTGTTACTGTGTCACTATACACCACTCTCTCTAACATGTAAACTCAATGAGCAGGGCCTCAATCCCTCTGTTACTGTGTCACTATACCCCACTCTCTCTAACATGTAAGCTCACTGAGCAGGGCCCTCAATCCCTCTGTTACTGTGTCACTATACCCCACTCCCTCTAACATGTAAACTCACCGAGCAGGCCCTCAATCCTACTGTTACTGTGTCACTATACCCCACTCCCTCTAACATGTAAACTCACTGAGCAGGCCCTCAATCCCTCTGTTACTGTGTCACTATACCCCACTCCCTCTAACAAGTACACTTACTGAGCAGGGCCCTCAATCCCTCTGTTACTGTGTCACTACACCCCACTCCCTCTAACATGTAAACTCACTGAGCAGGACCCTCAATCCCTCTGTTACTGTGTCACTATACCCCACTCCCTCTAGCATGTAAACTCACTGAGCAGGCCCTCAATCCCTCTGTTACTGTGTCACTATACCCCACTCCCTCTAACATGTAAACTCACTGAGCAGGGCCCTCAATCCCTCTGTTACTGTGTCACTATAACCCACTCCCTCTAGCAGGTAAACTCACTGAGCAGGCCCTCAATCCCTCTGTTACTGTGTCACTATACCCCACTCCCTCTAACATGTAACCTCACTGAGCAGGACCCTCAATCCCTCTGTTACTGTGTCACTATACCCCACTCCCTCTAGCATGTAAACTCACTGAGCAGGGCCCTCAACCCCTCTGTTCCTGTGTGTCCAACTTGTCTGGTTACAACTACATGTCTGTTCGTCCACCCATTGTAAAGCGCTGCGGAATTTGACTGCGCTCTATAAATATCATAATAATAATAATGGGGGTAATTCTTATTCCTGGGCTACCATGTGGTCTCAAAGGCAACATAACCAACCTGGCCATTTTCAATGTAAAAATATTTGACCCATATATTTGACCCTGTAACTTTCAAAAACGCTATAAAACCTGTACATGGGGGGTACTGTTATACTCGGGAGACTTTGCTGAACACAAATATTAGTTTTTCAAAATAGTAAAACTTATCACAACCGTTATATCTCCAGTGAAAGTGCCGTTTGTGTGTGAAAAATGCAAAAAAAAAAATCACTTTCACTGACAATATCATCGCTGTGATATGTTTTACTGTTTTAAAACACTAATATTTGTGTTCAGCAAAGTCTCCCGTGTAAAACAGTACCCCCCATGTACAGGTTTTAGGGTGTCGTAGAAAGTTACAGGGTTAAATACAGTGCTAGCAAATTAAATTCTCTGGACTTCGGCCTGGGTTGTCAGGCAGGTCCCTCAATTTACAATCAATAAAATTACTTAATTATGTAAAAATATTACATAAAAATACACGTAGAATTTGAATATATATGCATGTTTATATATTTGAAGTTTACGTGTATATTTATGAAATTATTTATGTAATTTTGTATATTGATATATATATTTCGTAAAATTTAGATTTATTTATATTTACCTAGATGTATATATAATTTCAATCTAAGTGTATTTTGATATAAATATATATTAATATCAAAATACAGTTAGAATAAAATTTCATATACAAATATATAATTTAAATTTTTTTAATTATTAAAATTTCTCATTTATTTTAATTTACTTATTATTTGTATTTTATAATATATATATATATATATACAATATATATCTTTATTGCATATATTATTTATATACGTGTGTTATTTAATTATAAGTGTAATTTTTTATTTATATACGTATATATTAATATAAAAATACACTTAGTATGAAAATATATATATATATATATATACACAGTTGCAAGAAAAAGTATGTGAACCCTTTGGAATGATATAGATTTCTGCACAAATTGGTCATAAAATGTGATCTGATCATCATCTAAGTCACAACAATAGACAATCACAGTCTGCTTAAACTAATAACACACAAAGCATGAAATGTTGCCATGTTTTTATTGAACACACCATGTAAACATTCACAGTTCAGGTGGAAAAAGTATGTGAACCCTTGGATTTAATAACAGGTTGAACCTCCTTTGGCAGCAATAACTTCAGCCAAACATTTCCTGTAGTTGCAGATCAGACGTGCACAACGGTCAGGAGTAATTCTTGACCATTCCTCTTTACAGAACTGTTTCAGTTCAGCAATATTCTTGGGATGTCTGGTGTGAATCGCTTTCTTGAGGTCATGCCACAGCATCTCAATCTGGTTGAGGTCAGGACTCTGACTAGGCCACTTCAGAAGGCATATTTTCTTCTGTTTAAGCCATTCTGTTGTTGATTTATTTCTATGCTTTGGGTCATTGTCCTGTTGCAACACCCATCTTCTGTTGAGCTTTAGCTGGTAGACAGATGGCCTTAAGTTCTCCTGCAAAATGTCTTGATAAACTTGGGAATTAATTTTTCCTTCGATGATAGCAATCCGTCCAGGCCCTGACGCAGCAAAGCAGCCCCAAACCATGATGCCCCCACCACCATACTTCACAGTTGGGATGAGGTTTTGATGTTGGTGTGCTGTGCCTTTTTTTCACCACACATAGTGTTGTGTGTTTCTTCCAAACAACTCAACTTTGGTTTCATCTGTCCACAGAATATTTTGCCAGTACTGCTGTGGAACATCCAGGTACTCTTGTGCAAATGGTAAACGTGCAGCAATGTTTTATTTGGACAGCAGTGGCTTCCTCTGTGGTATCCTCCCATGAAATCCATTCTTGTTTAGTGTTTTACGTATTGTAGATTCTAACAGGGATGTTAGCATTTGCCAGTGACTTTTGTAAGTCTTTAGCTGACACTCTAGGATTCTTCTTCACCTCATTGAGCAGTCTGCGCTGTGCTCTTGCAGTCATCTTTACAGGACGGCCATTCCTCGGGAGAGTAGCAGCAGTGCTGAACTTTCTCCATTTATAGACAATTTGCCTTACCGTGGACTGATGAACAGCAAGGCTTTTGGAGATACTTTTATAACCCTTTCCAGCTTAATGCAAGTCAACAATTCTTAATCGTGGGTCTTCTGAGAGCTCTTTTGTGCGAGGCATCATTCACATCAGGCAATGCTTCTTGTGAAAAGCAAACCCAAAACTGGTGTGTGTTTTTGATAGGGCAGGGCAGGGCAGCTGTAACCAACACCTCCAATCTCATCTCATTGATTGGACTCCAGTTGGCTGACATCTCACTCCAATTAGCTCTTGGAGATGTCATTAGTCTAGGGGTTCACATACTTTTTCCACCTGCAATGTGAATGTTTACATGGTGTTGTAATGATAATGATATTGATGTTACAAAGTTTTGGAGTCCAGTAGCCAGATCAGCAATGTTTTCTGCCAGAGGTAGCCACTCGTTACCCAGGTGGTTGAGCCCCTGAGCCTTGAGTGGCCTTCTGGTCTCAAGCAGAGATGGGAGACTGGAACAGAAAGATGATAATCGTAGTCAGGCAAGCCGAAGTCAGTGGGAAGGAGAAGCAGCAAAGTCAAAACAGTCCAAATTCAGCAACAGGAAGGAGAAACAGGAACACGCTGGATTAGAGAGTACAGGAACCACAATAATCTGGCAAAGGTAAAGAGACAGGAAGTGGCTTTTATAGGCCAAGAACCAGACACCTGACTAGACACAGCTGAAGTGAGTTGTCACTGATAACCTTGACTCTACAAGCAATGGTATCAGATCTCAGGTAAATTTGCAAAAGGCAGGCTGGTGTACTGGTAAGGAAAAGGTTTAGCATCATGTAAACCAGGGTTCGAAACCCAGCAGAGTCAGTTCCTCACATTACCTCCACCTTTACAGGCGCAGCCTCTGGATGCCCTATTTCCTGGTTTAGCAGGGTACTGTGCATGGAAAGACTGAAGAAGATCAGGAGCATGAATATTGTCCACTGGTTCCCATGATCTATCCTCCTCACCATAGCCTTTCCAATGAACCAAGTATTGAAGTTTGTTGCGGAAGATCCTGGAGTCAAGAATTTTTTCCACCTCGTATTCATCTTCACCATCCACGAGGACTGGTGGTGGGGCATGCAAGGCTCGACCAGGGAAAGTATTTTCATGAAAAGGTTTAAGCAGTGCCACGTGAAACACCGGATGTATTTTCATGGAATCCGGAAGTTGCAGACGGAAGGTGACTGCATTGATCTGAGCGATCTTAAAAGGTCCCATGAACTTTTGACCCAATTTATGAGAAGGAATCCTAAGCTTAAGATTCTTTGTTGACAGCCAAACCTTGTCACCAACATGATAAACTGGGGCCTCCTTTCTGTGCCTATCAGCAGCTCTTTTGTAACATTCCTGAGTCTCCTTCAACAGTTCTTGGGAATCTCGTAAGGCAGTTAGCCGGTCAGTGACTGCAGGAATGGGAGTAGTAATTGGGAGACTCACTAGAAAGGTTGGATGGTAACCATAATTGGCAAAAAATGGGCTCAGAGAAGTGGAGCTGTGTTGGGCATTGTTATAGGCAAACTCCACCGTGGGTAGAAAATCCAGCCAGTCATCCTGCAGGTAACTAATATAGCACCGCAAATATTGTTCTAAAGTCTGGTTGGTTCGCTCAGTCTGTCCATTACTTTGTGGATGAAAAGCTGAAGACAGATTTACATTAATACCTAGAATAGAACAAAAATATTTCCAAAAATGAGATGTAAACTGCACTCCCCTGTCAGAAATTACTTCATCAGGCACTCCATGCAAGCGAAATATTTCCCGAACAACAAGGTCAGCAGTCTGTTTAGCTGAAGGGAGACCACGAGCTGGTATGAAATGACTCATCTTGGTTAACCGGTCCACAACAACAAGAATAGTAGTGTGTTCCTTAGAGGGAGGTAGTTCCACAATAAAGTCCATGGATATAGATCCCCGGGGACGATGAGGAATCGGAAGAGGCTGAAGCAAGCCAACAGGGGATGAGCGAGGAGTCTTATGTCTGGCACATACATCACAAGAGGACACATACTTCTTAACATCCTCATAATATTTAGGCCACCAAAAGGATCGGGTAAGCAGTTCTTGTGTCTTTCGGATTCCTGGATGACCTGCTGGTTTAGAGTCATGGTAGAGGCGTAAAACGTCCAGTCGCACTGATTCTGGAACAAACAGACGCTGTTGAAAAATCCAAAACCCATTAAGCATGGTCATATGAAGATCACGAGGAGGATCACGAAAAACTGGATCTTTAGAGTAGCCCTTTTTAATGTGAGACATTAGATCAGAAGGAAAGGTAACTCCTAAAAATCTGCTCTCTGGCAAGATGGTGGCCTTGGTTACTGTAGTATGGAGGGGGTCAGCTATCCTAGACAAGGCATCCGCCTTGCCATTTCTGGAACCAGGGCGGTATGAAATAAAAAATTAAACCTTGAGAAAAATAGGGACCAGCGTGCTTGTCTGGCTGACAGTCTCTTAGCGGATTGGATACATTCCAGATTTTTGTGATCTGTGAGGACAGTAATTGGATGGGTGGCTCCCTCCAAGAGATGTCTCCATTCGGTGAAGGCAGCTTTTATAGCCAAAAGTTCTTTATTCCCTATGTCATCATTTCTTTCTGCTGGTAACATCTGGCGGGAATAGAAGGCACATGGATGTAACAACATCTTAGGTCCAGTCCTTTGAGATAGTATAGCCCCAACAGCTGAATTAGAAGCATCTACCTCTACAGTAAATGGCAATTCTGGCTGAGGATGTACCAAGATAGGGGCAGATGTAAACAGAGTCTTTAATCTGGAAAATGCAGTGTCAGCCTTATTGGACCACTGAAAAGGAGTCCCTTTACGTGTAAGTTCAGTGATCTGTGTAATAACGGCAGAGAAATTCTTAATGAAACGCCTGTAAAAATTGGCAAACCCCACAAATCTCTGTATATCTTTTTCATTCTTGGGGATGGGCCAGTCCAGCACAGCTTTAATTTTACTTGCGTCCATACTTAAACCTTTAGGAGTTATTACATACCCCAGGAACTGAATTTCTGTTTGTTCAAACTCATTTTTCCAGTTTAATGTATAGGTGGTGGGTACGAAGGCGCTCAAGAACAATGCAGACCTGTTTTCTGTGATTTTCAAGATTATCAGAAAATATCAGGATATCATCCAAATATGCCACAACAAATTGATCCAGGAGATCCCGTAGTACATCATTGATTAGATGCTGAAAAGTTGCAGGGGCATTACAAAGCCCAAATGGCATTACTAGATATTCGTAATGTCCGTACAGGTTCTGAAAGCTGTTTTCCATTCATCATTTGGTCTTATGCGAACCAGATTATATGCCCCCCGTAGATCAAGCTTCGTAAATATTTTAGCTGAACGAAGTCTCTCCAGAAGTTCAGGAATGAGAGGCAAGGGATAACGGTTTTTAACAGTGATTTTATTAATGTCCCTGTAATCTACACAAGGCCGTAGACTGCCATCTTTCTTTTCTACAAAGAATATAGGAGCTCCTGCTGGAGAAGTGGATGGTCGAATAAAGCCTTTGGCAAGATTTTCTTGTATGTATTCACGAAGTGCTTTCAATTCAGGCTCAGAAAGGGAGTATATACGGCCAAATGGGATAGCAGCTCAAGGTAGCAGCTCTATGGGGCAATCATAAGGCCTGTGAGGTGGAAGCTGATCAGCATTCTTCTTATCACAGACATCTGCAAAATCCCGATATTGTAGCTGAAGCTTAGTTAAGTTTGTAGCAACCATTTCATTAATTGTTGTGGTAACAGGTGTCGCCTTAGAGGGTTGACAATTCATTAAGCAGTGTTCTGAAGGAAAGGACAAAGTTCTAGTCTTCCAATCAATCTGTGGGTTATGCAGCGCAAGCCAGGGTATACCCAAAATCACTGGAAACTGTGTTGAGGAAATTAGGTGGAAAGATATAGACTCATGGTGATTCACTTCCAGAATCAATTTTAAGGGCACAGTCTCATGTGTAACCGGGCCTGATGTAAGTGGAGAACCGTCTACTGTTTCCATTAACACAGGTGAAGATTTAGGGATAGACTGAATTTTATTTCCTGCTGCAAATTTAATGTCCATAAAGTTTCCGCCTGCTCCGGAATCTATCATAGCTGTAGTTGAAATTGTATTATTACCATATTTCAAAGTGATAGGCACCACCAAATGAGGATGTTGAGTCATCATACCTTCTTCACCCTGAGCCAGAGAAAACAAGGGTTGTGTGACAGAATCCAGTTGGTCTGAAATCTGGGATTGGTGTTGAATCTGTGCACCCTCAGCAGTCATAGCTATTGTTCTTTTAGACTTGTTAGGGGCACTTGATGGCATAATGCCCTGCACTACCACAATACAGGCATAAGTTGTGAGTGCGTCGCCACTGTTTTTCTTCATTGGATAATGGCCCTCTTATTAGATCTACCAGCATAGCCTCAGGTTCAGAGTCTGTAGGTGTTTGTGGGGTCGGAGTAGAAATTCTTGAATAGAAAGTAGGAGTAGCACTTGGTTTAAAAGAGCCCTGTCTTTCCAATCTTCTTTCTGAAAGTCTCCGATCAATACGGATAGCCAACCGCACGAATGCATCAAACTCAACAGGAAGATCAACACGAGCTAGCTCATCTTTTATAGCTTCTGAGAGACCCCTTCTGAAGTGGAACCTCTGGGCTGATTGGTTCCAAGTAGTATCAGTAACCCACTGTCTGAATTCAGCAGAATATTCAGCCACAGAGCGCCTCCCTTGATGTAAATGAAGGAGAGTGGCTTCTGCTGTAGCACAGCGATTGGGATCATCAAAAACTAGGCACATGGCCTCTAGAAAGTCTTTTAAATTTCCCAAGATTGGACTGTCCTGTTCCAGAAAAGGGGAGCCCCAGGCCAGGGCTTCATCTTTGAAGAGGGAAAAAATAAATCCCACCTTCTCTCTTTCAGATGGAAAACGGTTAGGTAACATCATGAAATGCAAACGGCATTGATTTAGGAAACCCCTGAATTTTTTGCGGTCTCCTCCAAATTTTTCTGGTAGAGGCAAGCGGGCATCTTGTGCAGGTGTAACAGTAGTAGTAGCAGCAGCCGCAACATCATGTGCCCTGTAGCTGGTAAGCTCACTATGCATTGATCGAACTTCATTTTGCAGTTCAGCTACCTGATCCTGCAGCACTTGAATGGTCTGTGCCTGGGTCTGCATAGTTCTTGCATTAAAAGCAACCTGTTGGGCCAATGCAGAATCTGATCCGACGGTCTCCATGAATGGGCCAGATTATTCTGTAATGATATTGATGTTACAAAGTTTTGGAGTCCAGTAGCCAGATCAGCAATGTTTTCTGCCAGAGGTAGCCACTCGTTACCCAGGTGGTTGAGCCCCTGAGCCTTGAGTGGCCTTCTGGTCTTAAGCAGAGATGGGAGACTGGAACAGAAAGATGATAATCGTAGTCAGGCAAGCCGAGGTCAGTGGGAAGGAGAAGCAGCAAAGTCAAAACAGTCCAAATTCAGCAACAGGAAGGAGAAACAGGAACACGCTGGATTAGAGAGTACAGGAACCACAATAATCTGGCAAAGGTACAGAGACAGGAAGTGGCTTTTATAGGCCAAGAACCAGACACCTGACCAGACACAGCTGAAGAGAGTTGTCACTGATAACCTTGACTCTACAAGCAATGGTATCAGATCTCAGGTAAATTTGCAAAAGGCAGGCTGGTGTACTGGTAATGAAAAGGTTTAGCATCATGTAAACCAGGGTTTGAAACCCAGCAGAGTCAGTTCCTCACAGGTGTGTTCAATAAAAACATGGCAACATTTCATTCTTTGTGTGTTATTAGTTTAAGCAGACTGTGATTGTCTATTGTTGTGACTTAGATGATGATCAGATCACATTTTATGACCAATTTGTACAGAAATCCATATCATTCCAAAGGGTTCACATACTTTTTCTTGCAACTGTGTATATATATATATATATATATATATATATATATATACACACACACATATATATATAATTATATTTTTATAGATAAACTTTTTATTTTACACATACAAGCAGTCCCCCTGCAGGCAGACACATGGACAGCTATTGTGGCCATGTGACCGCTCTGTTGAGCGATCACGTGGCCCCAGGGTCCTAATTCGCCATGGGGAGACTGTCTGGGCTGCAGGCAGTCTCCCCACACTGGGAGAAACGCCGATCGCCGCCGGGGAAACTACGGCGACCGGGTGAGTAAAGATTTACGTGATGACAGTTCAGGGCTGTCAGCGGTCCTCAAGGGGATTTTTCTGATGACGGTCCTGAACCGTCAGTGGTCGGGAAGAGGTTAAAGGGACACTACACGCACCAAGTCTACCAGACAGCCTCTGGGGGCGCTTCCGGAATCCATATGGACTTTCGAAACAGTTATCTGAAGCTGGATGTCCTCACGGATAATGCTTTCCTATGGGGAGGTCTAACGTGCTCGGCCATTGCTGCGCTTTAGGTCTATCCCGCCAGCTGACGGTGGGGGAGGAGCGTGGGCAGAGCCTGGCTCAGCACCGAGGGACATCGGCGCTGGATTCAGGTAAGTGGGAGGGAGGGGGGACCTAATAACCCTATATTGATAATAATAAAAAAGGAAAAATAATTATTAATATTGATATAAAAAAGGAAAAATAAATATTAATATTGATAATAAAAAGGAAAGATAAATGTTAATATTTTTAATAATAAAAAAGGAAAAATAAATATTAATATTGATAATAATAATTTGATAGTAATAAAAAAAAAGGAAGAATAAATGGGCAATGGGTTTTGTAGCTAATTTAACCGTAAATTGTATCAACTTAAAACTATTTATAAACATCCAATTCTGTGATATTTAAATATTTTACTATTGCAATTTGCTATTCTTTATCCCATTAGCTGTATAACATCATAGAATATGCAATACAGGGAATCTTGTTTTAAGGGAAACTAAGGCATAGAGGGCTTTTAGAGACTTGCAATAAATCAAAGGTTATTATTATAATTTTTTAATAAACGTCTTCAGATTTTGTTGTTTGTTTTTATATTATATGCTTTATTTAGAGTTATGGGGCCTTTTGGCCCATGGGCACCGCTCACATTAAATGGTCTAGTGTAGAACCCCTTTCTTCCACCGGTGCAGTGGACACCTTGCGATACTCCAACATGTCTAAGGAATGTGGTGTTAAATAGTTCATTTTATTTTATATAATTTTAGAGTTGATGAAAACATTGCCGTCTACGCACTAAGCATGACGTTGCGGAACGCGTTAACAAATTATCTTCCTGTACTCACTGGGTCGGAAAGGAAACTGCTCTCTGCTCCTTCTGTGTTCCTGCACTCACAGCGAGCAGCTACCCGTCAGACTGGGCAGAGACAGAAAATCATCTGTCGTGGTCAGGAACATTTAGAGGGCAGCTCTGTGCACCCCTCTTCTGCCTGCCACCCAGATTTTGCGTTCCCTGGGCAGGTGCGTCTAAAGGCTCACAGAGCTTACAGTCTATTATGATGGGTAGACTACAAAGAATTGAGGTCCTTGCTCACAGAGCTTACAGTCTAATATGATGGGTAGACTACAAAGAATGGAGGTCCTCCTTGCTCACAGAGCTTACAGCCTAATATGATGGGTAGAATACAAAGAGTGGAGGTCCTTTGGTTACAGTCTAATATGATGGGTAGAATTCAAAGAATGGAGGTCCTTGCTCACAGAGCTTACAGTCTAATATGATGGGTAGAATACAAAGAATGGAGGTCCTTGCTCACAGAGCTTACAGTCTAATATGATGGGTATAATACAAAGAGTGGTGGTCCTTGCTCACACAGCTTACAGTCTAATATGATGGGTAGAATACAAAGAATTTAGGTCCTCCTTGCTCACAGAGCTTACAGTCTAATATGATGGGTAGCATACAAAGAATTTAGGTCCTCCTTGCTCACAGAGCTTACAGTCTAATATGATGGGTAGAATACAAAGAATGGAGGTCCTCCTTGCTCACAGACCTTACAGTCTAATATGATGGGTAGAATACAAAGAATGGAGGTCCTTACATCCTAGTACCAGGGCTCAAAGTTTGCACTGCCAACTGGAAAGTCCTTGAGAGTCCATACAATGGCATACTTCCCAAATGTCCCTATGTGTCTTTAAACTACAGTAAACGTGTTTAGAAATGAGTCTGTGTAAATAAGATGCATTGTTCTTCTAAATTACTTTTTAATGGTATGCTTGTTCAATGGGTAAACTACAGAGTAAATGCTCGTTCATAGAGCTTACAATGTATATGATGGGTAAAATCCAGAGAAGTGAAGGGGCCGTTGCTCACAGAGCTTACAGTCTAATATGACGGGTACAAAAAAAAATCTTTTTTTTTTGTTCAGAGAGCTTACAGTCTAACTTAATGGAAACACGAAATGGGGGCCCTTGCAGTTACTTACAGTCTTTACGATGGGTGCAGTACACAGAAAGGGAGTACCTGCTCACAGAGCATGCAATGTAAAGTGATGTTTACAGTACAAAGAATGGCTACCCTTGCTCACAGAGCTTACAGTCTAGTATGATGTAAAAAATAGTAACCAAAAAACTTTTATTGTTAAAATACACAATTTAAAACCATTAACACGTTTCACCTATTCAGGCTTTTTCAAAATGGTATAAGGCATCATACCTGGAATGGAGAATTATATAAAAATATGTAAATCTAAAATTGGCGCCAAAACTTGGAATCAGTCAATAAAAAGACAGATTATAAAAATAATATTATAAACAAGTAATACCTCTATGGCTTCATAGAGTAAGTAAATACGAATATATTGCTATAATTACATTTTTAAAACGAAGCTTGTATAATAAAATATAAATAAAAACTTGGCCTCGCGTGACCAGCATTATATGGAGCAAAGCTCCTTGAGTAATGTAGTTTTGCCGGTAGACTCTAGCCGGCGTGAGGGGGGGCGTGCATAATGTGAAGGAAGGGACTAAATAGATCCTTACTCTTTGAAGCCATTTAGGTATTACTTGTTTATGATATTATTTTTAGAATCTGTCTTTTTATTAGCTGATCCAAGTTTTAGCGCCAATTTTAGATTAGCGAAGATATAGTCAAGCAGATAGGACGGTGGGAATCAATATGATTTCGTTCCTACTTATGCCCTCACTGGATTGTTTAAGGGGTGTTTTGGGTAAGGTTTTTTTTTCTTTCTCCACAATGTTTACGTTCTTGTTCTCGTTTCAGGTTGGGTGTTGTGGTTGATCGACCACTCCTTCATCTATTGGGCACACCGGAGAGCCGCTGTTCGAAAACAGGGAATGCAGCTGGGTTTCTCACATGCCTTGGTTCAATTACATTGGATGGGTTTTCGGGGTTACAGTTGGTTAGGTGTATGGAAAGAGATTTTAAAACGTCTGGG